TCTGCATCGTGGGCATGTGCGTGGTGAACCTGAAGCTGGCCGTGTGCATCGCCCTGCGCTTCTCCGCCACCCGGCGCCAGTTTGGACCGGCCGACGGGGAGGAGGTGCCGGTGCTCGAGTACCAGCTGCAGGTCAGCCTCCCTCCGGGTGTCGCTGGGTGTCACTGCGATCTCTGCCTCCAGGGAGCTGCCTTTTGCTTGCTGGGAGCTGAGCAAACCTGCGGGGGACGGTCCCAGAGCTGTGGGCGGGCGGTCACCACGGAGGGAGGGAGGCAGGCAGCAGGCGGGAGGCGAGGCCGGTGGTGAAAGGGCTTTAATGAAAGGGTCCGTGCGACACCCCAATAAGGAGGCAGGAGCGCCCTGGGAGGCTCCGGGGAGACAGGTGTGCCTGCGCCCCTGGGCAGCCTGCAGGCGTCGGCAGATGGCCTGCACGCCCAGGCGCTGGCCCGGCCATCCATCCACCCTTAGAAATGGCCCCCGTGTGCACGCCGTCTGCTGGGCGGCTCTCGGAGTAGCGGGAGGGACCCTCGTCCTGCAGGTCTGCAGAGCGGGCGGCCGACGGTCACCTGGGGAGGGGACACGCATGTTTTCATGTGAACAGCCTCCACTCCTCGGGGTCGGTCTTTTTTTGGGGGGGGCGAGGGAAGGAGGGAGAGAGGGAAATATTGATGTGAGAGAAACACACTGATTGGTTGCCTCCTGCACCTGCCTCCTCGGGGCGGGGGATCGAACCTGCAGCCCGCGTCGCTGCCCTGGACCTGGAATAGAACCCAGGACCCTCCGGGGCGCAGGCCGTCGCTCCAGCCCCTGAGCCGCACCCACCAGGGCTCATGCTGGTCTTCACAGCACCGCCCCCAGCTCACGGGTGGGCTGAGGACGGCAGGTGACTCCTGTCGGAGGTCGTAGCGAGGCCTGGCCCGGGCGTGGGCCGAGCCACACGTAGGCAGAGCGTGTTGAGTGAAGCCCCAGGAGCTGTGACTCTCACAGCTGGGCTCAGCGCTTCCTGCGCTGTGGCTGCGAGCGAGTGCCCGTGCCTGCTGTGGCCCCTTCCCCAGCACCCCAACCCTGCAGCCTCGCTCCCCTGCTGCTGTGGCCCCTTCCCCACCACCACTGCCTCGTGGCCCATGAGCTTGCCATGCATCGGCCCGCCTGGGCATCGAGTGGCTCAGTGGGTGAGAGCCTCCTTGAGCCACAGTGCTGGGCTCTCACCCAGGTCCGCGCCCACCGCTGTGTGCTCTCAGCCAGGCCCTGGACCTCTCTGTGCTCCGGTGCCTCATTTGTAAGCTGGTCACAGCCCCTCTTCCTGGTGGGTGTAAGGATTAGACCCATTGGTGCGGAAGCAGCAGGTGGCAGTGTCGGGCACGTGACCTTGGGCACCGACCGCGGTGGTGGGTGGTGGAGGCCTTTCCCGCTCCTCCCCAGGCCCTGCCACCCCGGGGCCCTGCATGTGCCCGGTGACCACGCCCGCCCCCTGCCTCCGAGGGCCTCTGGCTCTCTGTGAGCCTCAGTTCCCCCATCTCCCTCCTCGGCTCACGAAGCACCAGGCATCACGGGTCAGCCCCGCGCTCTGGGCATGGAGGCCGGTGTGCCGGCGTCACGGTAGGGGCAGCGGGGAGGGCGGGCGTGCGGGGATCCACACGGCTCCGCGGTGCCTGTGGGGGTGGTCGGGTGGAAGAAGAACCGTCGCGTGTCTCGGAAACACGGGAGGCGCGTGAGGGGGGCCAGGGGGCCGGCTCCCACGGCTCCGGTCTCAGGCCTCCTCCACACGCCCTGGGGCGCGGGTGGGAGGGGCTCACGCTGCCGGTGGCTCCCTGCAGCAGTGGCGCCTGCTCCCGTACCTGGCGGCGGCCTACGCCTTGGACCACTTCTCCAAGTCGCTCTTCTGGGACCTGATGGCGCTCCAGCAAGGCCTCCAGCGGGACGACCGGAGCGCCAGGCAGGTGAGAGGGACTCGCTTTTCTCCGCTTTTTAAAAAACTGCATATTTTTTATTGATCTCAGAGAGGAAGGGAGAGGGAGAGAGAGACACATCAATGATGAGGGAGAATCATCGATTGGCTGCCTCTTGCACGCCCCACACTGGGGATCGAGCCTGACCCCGGGGCATGTGCCCTGACCGGAATTGAACACTGACCTCCTGGTTCGTAGGTGGTGGATGCTCCACCACTGAGCCACGCCGGCCGGGATGAACCCCCTTTTTTCAAGCTGAGAGTGGGATTCTTTCTCCCGCTGAGGGGTGTGTTGGATTAACTGGAGGGACGTGTGCCGTGGACGCCCTGGCTGACCGGAACCCCTCCGCTGTCAGAGCCTCTGGTCACTGTGCCCTTTGCATTCCTCCTCAAGGCAGAGCTGGGACGTGAGATCCACGCCTTGGCGTCGGCCGGCAAGCCCCTGGCCTCGTGGACGGCCCAGCGGGGGATCCAGGAGTGCCGCGAGGCGTGCGGAGGACACGGCTACCTGGCCGGTAGGTTTTAGAGACGCGAGTGACCGTTTTCTGTCCTTACCCCTCCCCCTCGCTCCAGACCAGGGTCGGCACACTGTGGCCTCCCGGGCCAAACCTGCTACCCCCCCGTTTTTATGGCCGCCCCTTCCCGCTTTTCCCATGGCCGTGCTCACCCTGCATCGATGGCTCAGCGGTCCCAACAGAGCCTGAAACGGTCGCTGTCTGGCCCTTCGAAAGTTTGCCACCCCCCTGCCCTGGACGGTCCCCGTGTTCCGATGCCCAGTATTCCTGGAACATGGAACTCGGGCGGGGGGGATGTGGAGGACCCCGAGGGAGCTCCTACCCACCAGAGTGGGGAGGAGATCATCTCTTCGTTTGAATCATAACTTTCTGGTTAAGGACTTGGCAGTAAATCGACATCAACTTTTGTTCTGATGAAAAACTTTTAAACAGGAAAAGTAAGTTTTTAGTGGCCTTGGCTGTTGGTTGGTCAGCTGGTGTGTGGGTAAGAGAGTGGCAACCAATAGCCTGGGAGCCCGTCCTGGCTCTGCCACTCTAGCCTTGTCACCGTGAGCAAGCCACCTGCCCCTGCCGAGCCTCAGCGTTCTCCCCTGTGAAATGGGGGTGCAGATACGATCCCACAATGGAGGTTCTGGCACCGGCTAAGTGAATGAATGCACACAAAGCATTTGGCACAGTGTCGGGCGTCCAGGATGTGCTCTGAGGCTTTTATTGGCTGTTGTTACTTGAATTATCGGGATTACAGTCGCTATTACTTGCAGCTGGCCTGCCCAACTTCCTGTGTCCCCGCCTCGAGTGACTGGTGAAATCCCGGTCCCTCTGAGAAGGCCACGTGCACATCGAACAACAGACTGGCAGAGCCCTGACAGTTCAAACCTCCGACAGCGTCTCAGGCTCTGGCCGAGTCGGGCGCCCTGGGGCCGGCTGGGGATAAGTGTGCCTTCCCGCGGGCCGTCCCAGCTGCTTCTCGA